ATAGATAATAGAAAACCACTTCGCGGCGCAGAGGATTTTTTTAAGCGCTCGTGCCGCCCCCCATGTGTCATGAAAAAATGCTGCCCATGCCCAAAACCGCTACTGATCACTCCCTCTGCTGTAGCAGAATCTGTTTGTCCTGAATCAACACCGCCTGTTTTGTGTGGAGAACACACTATGTATATCAACCAAGTATAATGTTACACCAAGCTAAAATGAATGCTGACATGTCAGTGAATATTACAACATAATAGGGATTTATATGTTTAGCATATTGCACATATTCCAGCAGAAACCATGACCCTGTTGACCACATCCATGCTGACTGTACTGTAAAGACAAAATAATAGCTAGTGCTACTAGTGTTTCATATAATTGCAGGCAATTCTGTCAAAGATAGAGGGATCAAAGGAGCGACATGAATTCAAAGGACCAAACAATGTTGTATCATAAAACTTTACATTTTCCAGAACATAGTTCACATTTCAAAGTGAAAGTTTTGTGTATAAAATGTTACCACATACTGTAAGACAGATTGTTTCTCTTAATTTAGGCACATCATATAATAACTGTTGTGTTGAGAGCCCTTCATCTTGAGGAGATGTAGTTTGCACACTTGTGTTGCATGAGAACACTGTGTTTTAGGAAAAATCTAACAAACCCTAACCCTAACAAATTTATTTAAAACCAAAAAATAAAACTGAAAGTTGACCAGTAGGGATATGCTAGCAATCAAAAGTGGTGGTTCTGAAGTTCAAAATATATGACCTCTTACTCTTTCTTCTGCTTTGCCAATTACAAGTTTAATTGCCTCAACTGCTGGAGCTGAAATTGTGAAGGAGCGACAGTTAACATTAAAAGTTTAACTTTGACTTTTTAAATACATTTTCCTTCCAGTTAGAATAGTGTAGTACCATAGAATGCACAAATATCAACATAATTGAATGTTCAATTCAATTAATCCTGTAATTGCCACTTGTGACAGCAGAGGCTGCTGTTGTCGTTGCTCAGCAAAAGTTGTATAGTTTTTGCTGTCATTTTCTGTGAGTGCTCTGTTAGCCACAAAAAAGAAGGCTGAATCTTTCTACACTGTTCCCTTTTACCACTACCACAGTTTCTTCCACATATTCAGTATGATAATGTTCAGCTTCTGTGGCATAAAAATCTGGTTAGTTCCTTTATGAGCAGTTATTGTCTCAACATGGGCTCACTTTCCATTTCTTTCAAGCTCACGAGTCTAGTTAACCAAATAACATTTGCTTGTGCAACTACTGACTGCATGCCTCTCTCTTGGAAATTATATTAATATATAACTAATTCATAACAGTAAACACACATACATAATGACGAAATGCTTTTAATTATCATGCCTTGTATGTTCACTGACGGTGTAGTTTTACTTTGTTTTCGCCAACATATCCACTCATAGCAACCCCAAATTCCACCGGAGGGTGGCATGATTCAACTTTCTTATGGTTCTGTTTACTTGCAGCATTTGGTTAAGTTTAGAAAAAGATGGTTTTACAGTAGTACAATAACTTAGCCCTTCACAAAAAAATTTGCCATTGAAAATAACCCAGGCAGGAATTATGTTTTGTTCTCATTTGGCAAAACAGATTAGCATATATAAATGTAATTTCTTGGACAAAGAGTTGCCAACTGACACTGTGGCTCAGTCATTACAACAGTTGACTCCCAACCATAAAACTCAAACCCACTCCAGCCAACATGCTTGTTGGTTCATAGGGATATAGGTCAGATATGTTTAACATTAAATTATTATCCACTACCATAGGCCTAGCTGTCTCTGTTATATGCATTAGCTAGCATGGTCGGCTCATCAGATGCTTTATTTTGCTATTTAACAAGTTGACATTACATAAACACAAAATTCCTCATGTGTTACAGATGAAATAGTTAATCCCAAGTAAAACACCATAAAAACACAAACTTAAATAGCATGTCTATTGCAGTTGTTTAAAACCATATGGATACCAGTACAATATGGATATGCCAGAGGGGGTTTTGCATCACCTGCATCACCATGTAACTTTCAGTTTGACAGCCTTTTCTTTCCCATCCTAAGGGGTGCGTGCCAGAGTTCAGGGAAGGGACAGAATAGGTCAGCTGCCTGGGATCAACAAGAGCATTTCATGAGTGAGAAAGAAAGAAAGAAAGAGAAACTTTTTCCTTTTTTTTAGAGAGAGAGAGAAATGGGGTGAGGGGCAGGAGCTGAGGGCATAGCTGCAGGCTGGCTCATATCTGATTATGGAACAGAGATGGTACAGATTGGTGTGTTTACTAGGACAGATCACCTGCCACTATTCATCTTGGGAGGTCCTTCTTCCCTCCTCAGCTTCAGAGTAGGCTCACCACTCTTTTCTTTCTTAATATGCCTAACAAGAGTTGAGCAACAAAAAGAACATATGATTTTAATATTACTATTAACATTAATGTCAGCCAGAACTGAAGTGTTTTAGATTTTTGAAAGTTTTATAGGAAGCCACTGGCTTATATTCATTGCAGAATGCTATGAAAATAAACTTGCACAGAGTAGTTGATTGATTCTTAGATTTTTATGGGTTATTCTCGAACCAAAGTACACTCAGTTGCTAGTTAATTAGAAACACAAGTAGCCAGGGTGAGCTATGGCTTACCTATCATAAGATCATCACATTCTTAGTGAAAATAAACGATAAAGATAAATTATTTCAAATGAAAGCAAAACTAAGGATGTCTGGAGCCAATCTACAGAGATAATCGGATTTCTTATATTCCCTACATGCAAAATCATTTTTAAAAAAAAGATGAAATCCAAGATAAGTCATAACAGGGTGCTCTGTGCATGTACAGGTGCCAATGACAAATATGTTAATGACAGAGATTAGAAGTTGAATAATATTATGCAATCATTCTATAAGAGGTTAATCCCCTCTGGGACACCAGTGAATGCCTCAGCAAGTAGCTACTTGTATCTCACAAAAACTAAGAAAACATTTGGTGGGACTGTAGAACATTCTTCATGGTATCATGGTGGAACCTGAAAGAGAAGACAAATCTTCAAACTAAAATATAACCATAAGTAAAGTCTCAACTTGCAAGATATTTGTGAATACGCAGATCTACGCTGTCGTGAAAGTAGAATTGGAACAGAGCAAAAGAGAAACACAAAAAGACAACTAAATTGTTGAAAGTGGAATGAAGTGGGCTCCCGGCTAGCTCAGTGGGTAGAGCTGGTGACCCATGTACCAAGGCTGCAACAGCCCAGGGTTCGAATCTGACCTGCGGCGACCTTTGCTGCGTGTCATCCCTTCTCTCTGCCCCCTTTTCCTGTCTATCTCCAGCTGTCCTATCAAATAAAGGCAATAAAAGCTGACAAAAATATACTTAAAAAAAAAAAAAGTGGAATAAAGTGACAAATGTGTAGTAAACCAGATAGAATGGAACACTGCCAAATACCTGTTTATACTGCACAATGAAAAGCAAACAAAGAAGGGATCATTTTCCAGGACGGACACACACATGCAATAGCTAGCATGTGTACAGAAAAGACCAACCTAGTAAAATTGTGGTGTGGACAATCAGGATAAATCTATATAAATAGTTGGTAAACATATATCAAGAATGGATCCAGGAGGACATTAAGAAGTTTTGCTAATCCAAACTACTCCGCCAAATGGAAAGATTTGGAATTAATGCAATCTGAAACACCAGTACCAGTAGTCTTTATTAGGTAACTGCCAACACCATGATCCTCACCTGGATCAGGGTTGCCCTTAAGGTGTGCTTTAACACCTGTAAAAAAACTCCATCTCAAGAAACATGCAAAAATATTGAAATGGGTGGCATATGACTCTGAGTTTATACCATCAGGTCTCGATAAGCGATTCAGGCAGTGGGCACACAATCAGAAGGTTTTGTGATCCCCGCTCCCCTGCCACGTGTCGACAGTATCCTTGAGCCAGAACTAACCCAAATTGGCTCCTCGATGCACAGCACGTGTGTTCTGTTCGATGTGTCGTTCGACCTTTCCATCACTTGTGAATGTGGTGAAAGGTAACTGTGGCACGTAGTGTAAAAGCGCTTTGAGTGGTTGGAAGACTAGAAAGGCGCTATACAAGTACAGGTTTACCATTACCATTTACCATCTCTAAATCATACAGACTGGGAAGAGAGGATATGTTCAGATATTTCCAGGTCAGAGACTACTTCTACTTCAACAAGGAAATCAAACAAACAGACAATAGGGATTCCAATCTGATCAGTATATTTACCGATGCATATAAGGCTAAAGACAGTAAACATTTAATATCACAAATTTATTAAAGACTAAAAAATTCCAAGAACCATTCTACTCTCCAGGTTAAGCAGAAATGGGAGGGGGAGCCTGGCCTGGAGATATCTGAGGATGACTGGAGAACTGTTTGGGCGGGTCAAGCTAAGACCACCAACTCCAGAGCCTGGCGAGAATTCTGTTGGAAGAACATAATAAGATTTTTTGTGACTCCTAAATTGAAATCCAAACAGCAGGGTTTCCAGGGACAGGATACATGCTGGAGACAATCTGGACAGACGATGGCAGACCACTTTCATATATTCTGGGCCTGCCCCCTTATTCAACCATATTGGCATGGGAAAGGTGGACTTCATATTCTTTAACGTGTCATTTTCTGTGTGAATGATCACTCCATTTTGCACTAATGTATGGCCTGCGTCAACATTGTCAACCTGTCTGTTCACTTTTATTCTCTGTCTATTTATGTTCTTTCTTTGTTTTTTGTTTTGTTTGCTTGTTTGTTTTTTATTGTTGGAAAAAGAATTGAAAACTTAAATAAAAAGAAAGTTTTTGTTTGCCAAACAGACCAGATGAACTCCTTTCACCAGGTCAGTCGTCTTCATCATTCAGGTTCTTAGTTAGAGTGGCAATGCTTTCTCAATCTGTTTATCAGAGCATCTAGAAATGCAGGGTGTTTCTCTGTTGGAAACAATGCAGCCATGCATGTTAGAGAAGGTTTTTTAGGGGTAATACTGATAACAGTATTCCTGTTGGTATCAGTATATTAGTCACATACCTTTGTCTGTTGTCACATATGTATAATGTAATGTAATAATATATAATGTCACATATAATTGATCTTGTGCTGCTCGTCTTAATGCCTGCTACTCTTTTTCTTGCTACTATTTGGGGGCCACATTTTCCATAAACCCTGTTGCTTTTGGAACCTGGGGCATTATCTGTGGGCAACAAGACCAGTGCAGTGTATGCAATGCTGCCAGTAACGAGACTGAAAATGTGAGGCTAAAAAAAGTAATGAGCTGTGTGGGTTGTCCATCTACCAGCCATATGGACCTCATGACAGTTCAACAGTATTTTATCTGTACCATTACAACACTGAGATCCAGCAGCCTCCAGAGAAACATTTACCGTATAAATCTAACTATTACTTCACTTATGTTACAATTTCATTTTCCTATAATATTCCTATGGTGACTTAGAATTGAATTTGATAGGGTTAAGATAAGATGTTCCTTTATTGAACTTAGTACTTTACAGTAAACTTAACATGCCTCGATTCTTGAATGCACCTTCTAATGTTACTATATTTAAAAATATTCCTATGATTTTTATTTGTCACAGCAGTAACAGAATAGTATACTATAGTGTGCAAAGAAACCTCAAATAATGCGGGGAAAAATATAGGCACAATATTCATAACCTACTGACCTTGAAACATAAATAACAATAATAAATCAAAATGTAGGCTACTAAGCAACTAGTGGTCTAATGCTCTAGACATAACAGTGAAGATTTTTCCTCCTGTTGTCCATCACAGGTGCTGCAATAGTTTGGAAAATGTCATATCAGAAAGACACTTTTGTCACAATGTATATATAAAGCAATGAAAACAGCTATACATGAAGAATTCAGATTCCTTACTTTAGTAAAATAATCAATACAACAATGTAACAATCCACTGCAATTAAAAGGCCTGCTGTCAAAATCCTACGTAAGTAAAAGTACAGAAGTATTATAATTTGAGCGTTGAGATAATTTTTCAATAAAATGTCCCCTGTGACTGATATATTATTATATATCATCACCCTTTCTCATGGATATCTCAAATATGACCAGAGGTGGATTTTTGTGGAGTACAAGCCAAAATGTTTGGGAGCTACTGGTTTAATCTTTAAGCTGTAGTCCCTCTGAAAGGTAGTGGCGTAGAAATACCAAGTAATATAAACTACAAGTACTCAAGTACCTACATTTTTTGTGTTTTTATGTGTAAAAAAAACTAGACTGTGATATATATTTTGTTGTGTTGTGTAATTATCCCAGTGTTTCCATCAATGTTCAAACCCAGAGAAATCATCATTGTCACTTTATTCAGGTAACGGGCGTCTGGATCTAGAGTTATCAGAGAAACATGCTGAGCTAGTTAGCAACAGCTCGGTGGTGAAGACAACAACTCCCATGATCCCATGCTACATCACGTCATCAAACATCATCTTTTGCTGTTTTAATGTGAGAGACCATCTAGTGACAATTACATATTGTACGTTTAAATGCTACTTACTTTCCACCACTGACTACAGTAGTCAAAGGTAAAGAGAGTAGGCGGAATATTCTTAACACACAGCCTGGCTATGTGTGGGTCAAAATGCGGAAATATGTTTTAAAGGAATGCTGTTCTGGAGTCAGAAAACACTGTTATCATAAAGCAAGCTACATTTTTATACTTACTCAAGTCCTTTCTATTTACTATTGCTATGTCTATCTACTATGTCTCAGTCTCTGTGGATTCCCATGAAACAAACACCTGTGGTCATATTAATTATATTTGCTTTAATCTTTAGGTAGGCCTACAGAAATACAGAAAACAGACTTTTACTACTCCTTCAACATATCAACCTACTCT